ATTAATGGGGATTCTGAATAATTTTGTAACTGTCACAGGACAGCTCTTGTGCTCCCACCACTTTATCTGAGTTAAGGAGAATTCAAAACTGATCATATCTGTCCATGTAGTACCACACTCTAGTCTGTTTGCTCTGTTAATCACCCAAGAATAAGTGATTCAGTAATTATATTCTTCTCACTAAATTGCTGAAGGTTTTCCCTTTTTTCATATAGTAAGTATTCAAGAATAGGTATTATCTTAACTAAATTCATAAATCTACAGTAAATAGTTGCAGGGCAGTTTAAAAAGAAAGAAAAGACTTTATATCCTTAAATTTTTAGTTTGGTTTTCTTTCTGTTTGCAGCTTCAGTTTTTTTCACCGCCCTTATCAACTTGAGGCTGTTGTATCATATTAAGTTGTTTTTATTTTCTTGCTCTTTTTTAAATGTAATCATGTTTTTATGACCACTTGAACATACTTCCCAAACTGCCACTTCCAGGCATCTGAATTCCTAACACTGCTTTTAAATATTTTGGGTATAAGGTTAATAGTCCATTTACTTGATAGAAACTCATTGAATGAGGCAATCAGTAACTCATCATACTTGCGGTTTGTAAGTGTTGATTTTGTAGCTTATTTGCTCAAAAACTCTCAATGGTAGACATACTGGCAAGACATAGCACACTTCAGTCCACATACTGATTTGAAAAATTGGAAAAGGTTCTTTTATCTAATTGAATAGAATTGATCTGTTAATCACATTTATGGCCTTCAGTGCAAAGTTGCAATTGAAACATAACCATTCATTTTAGTGAATAACCAGTTTATAAAGGCTATTAACCTCCAAGAAATCATAGCCATAAATCGTGACTTAGTCTCAGTGCCCTTTTTCAGTAAACTAATGTTGAAACTAGCCAAGCATTTTATCTTTAGTACCACTTTATTTTCAAATAACTAATGAAAATATGAGGGAATATAGGTGGTGTTGCAAATCTGTTGTTTTTCCATTAGAGAACTGGCTTATTCAGTCTAATGATCATCATCATTTGAATTTGTCTTGTTAATCTCCATTCAATGCTTTTCCCTTGCACGTTCTCTGCCAGGCAATTAAAACTGAAACCTAGGCTCTAGTTAATTATTCTGTATGAGAAGCAAGATTTATTTGGAGCTGCTGCATTGAAGTATATTTCTTGTAAGCTAATCAGTGCAGAGCAATGACACTGGATAAATACCAAATGTTGGTCATGCTTCTGTCCCACTGAACAGTGAGCTGAGAGAGCTTTGGGTCAATCAAAATGAGGATGACCGTTCTTGAGCATATTCGGCAAGGAAGGAGGAAGTTCGGAAGCTGTGGCTCCTATACTTTGCTGTCAAACGCACAAATTATGTGTGTAAGCAAGTGCATATATAATTTGATTCACACGTTCTATATTTCATCTTTGAAAGGTCAGGCTTTAGATGTTGATTTTCAGTAGAATATAAATACCCAATGCATCAAATAACTTAATCAAGATTTTGACTATGAATTTAGGAAACATTTGGCTTGTTTACAGTTACATTTTCCTACCAAGGTTTCTTTGCTTGACATACTGCTGGATGTTTGTACATTTACTTAAACAACATTTGATCATGTGATTCTGCTGTTAATTTTCATGTTAGATCATTTTTGGCTTTATTGCAGGAAAAAAATTTATATAGCACTTGCTTACATTTTGTGGAACAAATGCAGACATTTTAAGCAGCCTACTCTAGGCTGACACTTCTGTGATACAGACCTTCATGTTTGTGTCCAGTAGCTGGAAAGTGTATTGAATGATTTTTCTTTACACATTAAATGTTGCACATTAGAAAACATTAGAACACTTGAGTCAAGCCAATTAATTTGATTTGAAGGTACATCTTGGGGTGCCCGTAACTTAGCTGAATTTTACGATTTGTCACTTAACCAAATCTCCATGGCTGAAGTCAATGTCCAATTAATCCATCTGGTTTTGTTTCCCCCTCCCCATTGTTTTAAAGTTAAAACTAAATATTTGGAGCAGCTTTTAACCAATAGATAGAATTTTCTCATGACTGTTCATTTCCTGATGTATATATAAATCCTAAAATGTTGAAAGATCAGTATGTCAATCAGGCTTCCTCCTCCTTCCCACCACGCCACTCCACTACAACCAGCACACGTTTATCACATGAAAGAGGTACAATGAGAGTACTTAAATATATTCTGCTTTTCTGAAGTAACAGTATTTTATAATGGAAAAGTTGAATTTTACAAACTGTGAATGTTTCATGTCTCAGTATTTCTAGCTTTTGATAATTATTTGTAAAATGAATCCTCTCAGTCTGAAATTCTTTGTAGATTATTCATTTGCTTCAGAAACAAGGTCCCCATGTGCAAGTATTGAAAAACGTTATCTGTCAAGCACATTTGGCACATAAGCTTTGAAATGTAAGAATCCATGAACACTGACAAAAAAGGGTTTGTTACTACTAATTTAGTTCATGGATCTGGCGCACTAATAAGTTGACTCAACTTTTTATTTGCCTATATAGTCTTAGCAGTTACTATTTTGTGCATATTTGTGTATGTTGTGAAATGTCAATAAAGTTGAGAATCAATGCTTCAACTGATTTGTTTAATTTGTAAGATTCTGTGTATCTAACTGTAGCATCCAAGCTGAGAGCTTTCACAAATATTCCAATTTTAGAGATTCACAAAAAAAGTGGCTTAAACAACGTTCACTAATTTGCTTTTAAAACACAATTGCAAATCAAATGGAAGTAATGATGTGAAATTTAAATATTATTAAATCAAATGTAAACAAATTGCCAAAGCTAGACATTCTTCGGTGTTCTTAGATTTCAAAACTCAATTAGTTAAACAAGCCATTTAAAAGACATTGTCAAATGTTGGTGCAAATGCTTCATATGATTTAGCTCTTCAGGATGCTTTGTTTTGAACTTCTAAATGCAACTGCAAAGATAGCATTTCCCTGTGACACCAGGTGAGAGACGATTGCCAAAGATATTGCTTTATGTGCAACATTTGTCTCCGGATTACTGTTTACTTTGGAGATTTCAAATTATTAACAATGTCTTTATTTTCTTTCTTTTCCCCCTCCCCTAGGCTGTGGCAGCAGCATGGAAAGGATGCACTGGCTGTATACTCCCAAGTCCAGTATATTCTGACCCAATGCTATAATTTGATTTGCGATCCACCCAAAGTTTCATTTGCTTCATATATTTATGGAACTGGTTACAACAGAGAATGTTTCATGATACCCTTTAAGAAAATTGCATTGTAAGATATGTGTGCCCTTGTATGGTATTTTTGAAGAATTTTCAAAAATCATTATTTTTGAGTGGGACATTTTCTGTTGATGAATTCAAAGACCCTGTCATTCAAACAAGTCATTATATGTTCACACAAATGTCACATCATGCAATTTAACTTGTCTAGATTTTAACACTACATTATTGAACGTTATAAAACCACAACAGAAGTAGTTGCATGCTAGTTTTAACTTGAGATTTTATAAATTAGTACATGCCAATATTTTCTCAACAGATTTTTGGAATGGAAATTATTCTGTGCTCCGTGCCTAAAGATGATGTATGTAGCGTGCCAGTGCAGCTCAGAGCTAGAAGTGAATCAGTTTGGTGGGACTACTGATTTTTGCTTTGGTTTTGAAATGTGCTAAGCAATGGAGGTGCAAGGGCCATTGAAAACATAGGTCAATATTGAACTGAAAGCCAGATCAATACACACTTGGGTGAGATGCTGAGCAAAGCTATTAGCCCTGGAAACAGGTCAGTTATTGATGTCACCGCTAGAGGTGGGGAAAATAGTTGCCTTTAAAACCTATCTTTCAGTGACTGTATTTTCTCTGATATTTAATATAAAAGCTCCAATTACATTATGGAGAAATAAATTTGCTCAATAGGTATGAAAAAGCATGCAAATATTGGTTAAATGTGCCAAATTGATATTTAGCTTAAATTATACGAAATGAGATTGAAAATGAATGCTGCTATGATCTTATTCGATGAATCAAAGATAATTGCATGGTTACCCTCTAACTGTAAGTTTTGAGTATTGTGAAATTGCCCTTACTATTTGAGCCATAGGCTGGCCTTTTCCTCCAAAGCACATTCCTACGTTGCTTTGTGACATTTGCAAACTTGGAATCATTATATTACATTAAAATCATTTATTAAATGCTGTTGTGGCCAGCCAAACCCACCGACCAAGTATTGGTCCCTGTGGTACCATCATAACAGTCTCCCTTGCCAATGTCAAGTGAGAATGAGTTGTACTGTAGTACAACTGTTGTCATTTGTCCTTTTAATACTGGACATTTGCTTACCACTTACTTTTCAACTTGCTAGCTATACCCATCTGAAGAATAAACAAAACAATTATGTACTTCTGAAAGAACCAACTGAATGTTAGAATGTAGAACAGAACAGTACAGGCCCTTCGGCCCGTGATGTTGTGCTGAACTTTTACCCTAATCCTAAGGTCTATCTAACCTTCACCCCTACCTTATACTATCATCCATATGCCTATCTAATAGCCGCTTAAATGTCCCTAATGAGGCCAACTCCACTACCTGCTCCAGCAATGCATTCCACGTCTCGACCACTGAGTAAAGAACCTACCTCTGACGTCTCCCCTAATCTACCTCCACCTCTACCTCCACCCACTTTAAAACTATGCCCCCTCGTAATAGCTACCTCCACCCTCGGCAAAAGTCTCTGGCTGTCTACTCTATCTATACCTCTGACAAATTAATTTTATAATAAAGTCTCTATAGCCTTACTAGAACATATGGCTACTCTCACCTGAAAGAGGACAAGTGGTGGTTTAGTCTGAGAGTCACCACACCCTCTGGTGGGGAGAGAGGTTG